GGAAAGAGAGAGAGTTTCTCCATGTGGTGATCAGAAAATAAATCCCATAACCTCATCTAGCATTCCAGCCAATACAGCTCATTTTATCAGGTCAGAAACACACACTGGGTTAAGAAGAGAACTCCACACTCACCTTGGCAATGGCTGTTTCTTTGTACATCCGTGTGACCAGACTCATGACTTGAGAGAAGTGACTTTCTGTGGCATCTGAATTCAGGTTTCTCATCAATTTCTCCCACTCTGCAAAAGTGGCATTCAAATTCTGATGGGCAGAAGAGATCAGTGGTCAGATACATAGCACAAAGCACGTTCTACCTCAACAGGTCCATTTTGAGTATGAAACGTTTAGGCACTTTATACTTTTGAGAACTCTTATCAAATTTGGCTAAACATAACTGTAGGATTCAAAGTCTAAGGGAAAAGAGAACAGAAAAGATGATTATAGTAAAATTAGAACATGAGCCAGCAGTGTGCTCAGGGGGCCAAGAAGGCCAATGTCATCCTGGCCTGGGTCAGGAACAGTGTGGTCAGCAGGACCAGGGAGGGGATTCTGCCCCTGGACTCGGTGCTGGTCAGGCCACACCTTGAGTCCTGTGCTCAGTTCTGGGCCCAGCAGAGGACAAGAGGGCACAGACTCAAGCTCTGCCAGGGGAGGTTTAGGTTGGATATTAGGAAGAGATTTTTTACAGAGAGAGTGATCAGACATTGGAATGTGCTGCCCAGGGAGGTGGTGGATTCACCATCCCTGGAGGTTTTCAAGCTGAGACTGGATGTGACACTTAGTGCTATGGTCTAGTAATCACAGTAGGGTTGGACTTGATGATCTTGGAGGTTTTTTCCAACCTGGTTGATTTTATGATTCCAGAACAAATTTTATCATCAACTGATGCCAAAAAGTTCCTATATTCATGTTCTTCATGTTACATTTCACAAAACCTAACAGAGATCCTGTTTTATATTCACACATTCTTTGCAACTACATGCAATACCCAAGCACACACATCAATGCAAATTAATACACAGATGTTACTACTGAATACACAGATATTACTATTGAATACAGATACTGCTATTTACTAACAAATGTGTTTTTAGCAAAAGTAGAAAACTGACCTTAGCTGCAGCTTGTGGGAGGTCAAATGGAATACGCTGCCTGACTTTGGGAGGCAACTGAGTCAGAACATCATTCTTCAGTCTTCTGATCATTATCTCACTTAAAAGCTGATGTAGTTCCTCTAAATTTGAAGCTCCTCTACAGTCCCATCGTGCTCTTTTACCAAAAAACCTGAAAATGAAAAATCAGCACTGAGGGTAAACATTAGATCTTCCAAATTCAGTGGAAAACTTCAGTACATAATTGATTTCAAAACACACTACAGGGTATGAAAGTTTGCTGGGTAACAGCCCTGGGGGCTCCTGTTTCAGCCAGAGGGGAGATTGCTTCCTCTCTGATTCTTTCCAAAGCTGAACTTTGTAATAATAATCATCATCATCATCATCATCATCAATCAATCAATCAATCATCATCATCTTGTTTCAGTGGACTAATGGGAAGAATACACCACCATGAGATTGCTCTCTGTAACATTTAAAGGCAGGAAAGTCATCATGAAAACTGAATATCACATTCATATTCCTTTGTTTCCCCTCCCGAGAATTCCTTCCTACTGTCAGAGACAGGAGTGAAAGCTCAAGGTACCACCCTGAAGTGTAACACTGCTTAAAGAGGATGGCTAAAGAGAGGAAGTATTTAACATTAAAAAGCTGAAGGTTGAGAAGAGAAAGAGTTTACCGACTCATTCTTCCTTATCCTTTCTTTGCTCTGCTGTCTTTGAGGAAGCTCTGCAGCAGGAACAGCAGCTTCTCTCTGTCAGCAGTGCCAGGGGTAATAAAACAACGAACACGACAGATTTGTTGCCTTTGGAGAAGAGCCCAGGTAGCATTTTCCAGGGCAGGAGAGTATGGTGCAAGCATGTAGCTTTTGTTTACACAGAAACAAAGCATGTAGAGAATTTTAAGCCTTACTGAGCTTATCCACAGTGTTCTAACTGGCTGATTCTAATAATTTGGCTAAGGTGCTGAGGGACTCACTTCTACTCTGGTGAAGGATTGGCATAACACGCTCAGAATGGCCCAGAGATGGAAGACAGCAACAGCTTTTGCTCATATCCCTTCTCTGCTCTATTTATGTGTGTCCTTATCAAGGTCTCCTCCCTCCAGCTCCAGCATTGGGGATAAAAAAGAGATTGCAAGCAAAACCTCACAGAAATAGTTTGGAGCTCATCTTTAAAACAGGTGTCTGTGGACACCTAAGTAAAAACCACCCACAACATTTTCACAGAAAGTGCTGCATGAAATAATCCTATCAAGTTTATCACCACAGGATGTTTTGTTTCAACCAAGCCAGGAAGAAAAAGTTATTTATTGAAAGCTTGCCAAGGCCTGAACTTGATTTTTATTACGTTTATGGTATTCCAAAAATAAGATAATCATCTCTGATTGAGTAGCTAACCATGCTGTACCCACGCACACTTGTGGTGTGAAAATTACAGATGCAGTTAGTCAAAACACCAGGGAAAAAATAGCAGTGCTCTGTCTGAAAATTAGACAGTGCTCTTCCACGTTATTGGAAGTTAAATACTGAAAAAATGCATATGATGGAGGGAGAAAAACAAATTCTGTGAAAATGAAACCATGTAATTATTACTGTGAAAATTAAATCTAAATGCTAACCAGTTTACTTGATAAAACCTTTCCTTCTGAACACATGCAAAGTTGTAGCAATGAAAATTTTCAGCTAAGGAATTTTTTAAAAGGTTCTTCCCTTCTCATATCTTCTTACATTCCAGATTGTAACAGAGTCAGATGGGCAAAGCTAAGCATTTCACATTGGAGTTTCATCTATCCCCTCTAATTTAGATTAGAGCTGGAGAAACCACCCATTAAAATAAAGCTGAGGGAAGCAAGTCAGAGGGGACTGAACTCTCCTTAAGTTAATCACTCATAGCACACGAAACACGAAAACTCATGAAAGATGCAAGAGATAAAAATGGGTTAAAATTCATTAGTTACATGTGAGGGGAAATGTGTAATGAGCAATGTTGCCAAGCAAACTGGAGGCAGAGGGAGAGGACAAGAACTACAATGGCTCTGTTTGATTCCTCAGAGGGAGTTACAAACACACGACTCTGCTTTTGGGAGTTTTATACTTCTCCCTTTAGTCAGCCAATCTGTCAGATACAGAGACAAGTACTGGACTTTTTTCCCCTGCCCAAGTATGGTGGGATAGCAAAAAGCTTAGACCTCCTAGTAAAGAGAGATGGAAATTATTACATGCCCATGAGTGTAAGACAGAGAGCCAATAACTCAGCTCTAAAGGTGAAACCTTCACACTTCATGCTAACAAGAGTAAGTTTGCAAATCATTTTACTTAACAGAATGCTGGCACTTTAACTTTATTTCGAACTTTACGAGCCTCCACTTTTATTTAATAAAAGTGGGATTTATTAACTCCATAAATTTTATCCTCTCCCCAATCCTCTTTGGTGGAGCAGATGGTACCTGACCCTGGGTTTGCAAGGAGGATGGCAATGATACACACATCAAGCTGTATGGTGCAGCAGGACAGGCACAGCTTACTGATTCTCTCACTTCACATGAGAAGGAAAATCAGATATTCATGAGAAAATAAATAAGCAATTCCAGCAATACCTGACACGAGCATTGCAGTACTTTTTAGCATATTCACTCCAAGTTCCAAATCTTCTTGGATACAGTGCCTCAATCTGCATGAAGAGCTGCATAAAAAAAACATAGTGACAGTGAAAAATTGCCTGCAAATGTAAGTGATGTATTCAGAAAGGATTAATACATGATTATTGTGATAAGTTTACATTCAACAGTTGCACTAAGATACACAGCTTGGCCCACATGCAAAAGACATTTCCTAGGGGTATGGTTGTATCTTCAGACAGGAGAGCTGTGGGAAGCCCTCAAAGGACAGAGCACCCTGAGCATCATAACACAGCACTGAAGACTTGGAAGATTTATACTGAACAAGAAAACATGGATGAGATGATGTTATTCCTAAACCAAAGTCTTTCACGTTTGCCAGGTCCATGGGCTCCTGCAAAGCTCCAGTGCAGCTGCTGCACAAGTAGTCTGTCTCCTTCAAATGCATAAAAAACCTACTCATTAAGTTTTACTTCAAAAAATGGACAATGTCAATACAGACCAGAAATTTCACACCTTTCTTCCCAGTTAAGCAACAGGAGCTAAGTATCAGTTTAGCTAACCTTAGCCAGGAAGAGTCCTACCTTACAAGCTGTTACACTGCCAAAGCTTTTTGGATTCCAAGACAGACTATAGAGGAGTAGCACAGAGAGAAATAGTAACAGAGAACACTCTCTGCCTTCCCTGCATTTCCCTGGTATTCCCTTCACTCTGTTGTATATCACTTCTATTTAAGCTTTTGTATTACCCAACCACGATAGTGTCCTCTCCCCAAAATTACCATAGTTGTTGTTCTATGTTGTTCTTCACAGGCTTCTTTCAAGACACAGGTTAGAGAACTGAAAAGCAGCATTAAGGAAAGAAAAATACAAACCCAATTTATTCACCCAAGGGAAATACTGTTGTTTTGACACAGATCTAGGCCAAACAAGAAACTGCCTGTAACCATTTGCTATAAATATACACAAGTATAAATGAATAATGCTTTTCATTTTCTATACATATTCCATTTCAATACTCCTGAAGAAAGATTCTGCTTATGACACAAAAAAGAGTAAGGACATGCAATGCTTTTCACACTCTGCCTTATAAACCATGGCAGAACTTTGGGATCACTGTAAGAATATCTCAAATTGTTTTCTCTCTGGTCATGACTTTTGACCCTATCACTGTGATCAGGGACAGAATTCCCTCTGAAGACCTGTAAAATGTTGCTTCCTGCTCTCACTATCAATGCACTATATGAAGGTGTAACACTTTCCAACTTCAGCTCTTCATCCAGGGCTGGCTGCAATGTCTTTGGTACATGTGCAGGAAGTTCCATAACTATCCACACCCACAGAGACAAACATTTGTTTTAAAGTTTTAAGCAAACACTCATGATGCACCAAACCCTTTCCCACACAGTGGATGTCCTCCTCAAGGTAAAACCTCTCTGAACGAATTACATTATTGAAGGGTCGTAGCATAAGTTCTGTTTACACAACAAGAAGCTCTAAAGCTTAAAGTATTAGTTGTATAACTCTTACAAGTTCCCTGGATACAAATCAGCTCTTGCATTCCATTTTTTCTACATTTGATAAATAAAGGCAGTTTTCTGGGGTTCAGTATAAAACCCAAGTGGCTTTTGGTTTGCTCTTGACTCCTTCCTAATTCCATAAGCTGAACTTCCTTCAAACAAAAATTTGTCTTTCTGGGCTGCAACGAGCACAAGATATATTTTGTTCCACTTATGCAATACCTGTGAGCATGAGGAATATCCAAAAAAGCAGTGACAAACCAAGGACTTCCTAGATCAGAGGATGAAGTAGAAGATTTAATACAAGTTCCTGTCTACCAGAGACTCTCCTACCCAGAAGAAACAAACAGTTCTCTACTCAGGGCCTTTATTTTCTCTTTCACCCAACACTCTGTTACATTAGAGATGAATTTCTTACAAGAAACACTGTCTCAAGTCACCTGCGCACAAACTTGAAACAAGTTTGCAAAATCAACTCGAACAGAAAGACACTGATGTAGTTTCTTACACACGTCCTGCCTAATGCTGCCGTACACTTTTTGATGTCATAACACAGGTAATTGAATGTACTCAAGAAAACTACAAAAGTCTCCATGTATTACTGATACCATTGTTAAAAAAAAATCCAAAACAAAACACAGTATGTCAAATACCTCTTCAGGTCTTCCTAGAGCAGGAGTGCCAGTAAGAAGAACAGCTCTCAGAGCTTTCTGCACAATTGGCAGCAGGATCTTGCTGCCATTCCTGGATTTCATGTAGTGTGATTCATCTATCACAACTACCTTGAAGTTCTGTCTGTACAGAGTGTCCACTAAAGTCTGTGCATCAGAAGTCAGCAGGCCATACCCCAGAATGGTTACTTTGCTGGTTGATATTCCCCTAAAAGACAAAATCCACAAGTTTTCTTGGTAAATTTTCACTCTAGGAAAATCAATACAGCAAAGAGATGATAAAAAATTAATTTCAGAAGGTGTGTGTGTGTCCTTCTGGCTGATTGATCCATGCACTGTCAAGCTAACAATAACAGCTTCTGGTGTTTGAAACCTCTCACACTTACCAGCCACACACATTTCACAACCATTTTCAGAAGACAAACATTGCATTTCAAAGGAAGTTCATTTATTTGGCTGCATTATTTCAACCTGTGCTCCTTTCCAGGAGTAGCACATGGGACAAAGCCACTTTCTGGACAAAAAGTTACACAGAAGCCCAGACCCAAACCTGAGGCAATAATGTCTCCATGCAAGCTGAGCCCTGCTCTGTGTACAAAGAGTATCCTCTCACCAGCAACCTCAGAGGAGTAACTAGACATGTCCCTGAGTATTTGGGCACTGTAAAACTGCAGTCTGGGCTGAACATCACCATCTCCTCCCTGACAGGAGGTTGGAGTCAGGTGGGGGTTGGTCTCTTCTCCCAGGCAACCAGCAGCAGGACAAGAGGGCACAGACTCAAGCTCTGCCAGGGGAGGGTTAGGTTGGATATTAGGAAGAGATTTTTTACAGAGAGTTTTTACAGAGAGAGTGATCAGACATTGGAATGTGCTGCTCAGGGACATGGTGGATTCACCATCCCTGGAGGTTTTCAGGATGAGACTGGATGTGGCACTTAGTGCCATGGACTTGATGATCTTGGAGGTCTTTTCCAACCTGGTTGATTCTATGATTCTATGATATGTAGATCCAAAGCACAAATTGATTTTCAAATCACTAGAGAGCACTGTGGCCCTTCAGGAGCCTTTGAGCAGCACAGGAACTCTTAAAACTGTTAAACAAGTCACCAGAACAAGGGTCACAGCTGGTCTGCACCTCTGCCATGATTTTTGTTAGTTCTTCAGTAGCCACAGACCAAAAAACCAAGTAAGGTGAAGTTGCATCAAGTATTTAAGAGGAAGAAAGTATGTACATGTGCTTCTGGATACAGCAAAGGTGGATAATGGTTAGAGCAGTGGCACTGTGGTCAATGCACTGCAGGCTCTGCCTGGCACTGTACAGATAAATGTAGCAGCCAGGAAAACATGAATATCCCCAACCCCTTTGTGATTAAAAAAATGACAAACAAAATTATTTATTCTTAGTGGAACCAATTTATTCAAGAAACATCCAATTCCAAATTTAGTCAGACATTATAAGAACCTAAACTGATGCCTAAAAATATTTCAACCTGTTTAAATCAAGAAGTTAAAACAACTCTCAGGCAGTAATTTAGTTGCTGAAGTTTTGAAGAAAAGCAAAGTATAGAACTGAGAGAAGTCAAAGCTGAACATATGGAAGCAGAATTTAACAAAGTGCTAAACCAAGTTTGGCAGCTGTATTTTTACATTTTCTTGCAAATGCATAAAACACTTTTTAATGTTATAATATTAATTAGTCCAACAGCTACCTCACTTGGAGCTGGGAAGCCTCCTGGGAGTTAAATAAGCAGAAACCCAAGTTTTCATCTTTCCTTGCTGATGAATAGAAGTAAGTGATAATGGTTAAGGCCTATTCCTTCTAAAAATCTTAAAAGATAAAAAGAACAGGACTTTGTTTGCCCTTTAATGTTGCCATCATTTTCCTTGTTCCACATTTCTCCTTTAGGCATCCAGCACTATAAGCAATAAGTCTGAGTGCACTTTAGCTTTAAAAAAGGCTCATTTTAGTTCCCATACTCTTATGAGAAACTTAAATTTTGGCTATCAGTAGCAAAGACCCTTTGATTAAGTTCTTAAAATGCATCTTCAGTTGGATTTCTGGGGTTACACATCATGGTGGTCAAGTCACTTTCTGACACTCCTCAGACAACATGAAGATCAATCTCCCTCACGCTGAAGTTTTAGAACGACACCTAAACATTACATATCAACCAAGTCATTTCCAGTAAAGCAGACTGAAAATTCAGGGTAAGAAGAGAGTTATTCTAATAACACACAAGACTTGTAATCTCTCTTTGATGAGTTCATGCTATTAAGTCTAAAGATAGAAATCCTAGGTCAGGATGACCTTTTCAGTTATTTAGAGATTACTTACGCTAACTTGCAAATTTCCTCAGTGCACTAAACAGATTTTTTTAAACAGTAATTACTTCCTTATTTTGTTAAGTACACCAGAAGTTTTCCATAAGCGTTTTACAGAAGCTAATGAATTCATCAGTTGAGAAATAACTGTGTATGTTCAGTCTGAGACACACTGAAGTCATCTAATTTTCAGCAGACAAGCACTTGCTACTTTGCAAAAACCAGACCTCAGCTTCAAAGAAAATGAGTAACTACCATAATCACAGAATCTCCTGAATATATATAATATAACAACACAAAACTGGGAGGAGTGGCTGATACACCAGAGGGTTTATCTGGCAGACCAGAGGGTTGTCCTGCTCGAGCAGGGGGTAGTGAACAAACCTTTCTATGTAAGAACAACAAACTTTACTCACCCAATATCAGTTTTGTTCTGAATGATGCTAATGTCATCTGGAGAGAGCTCTGGAATCCACTTTTCCATCTCATCAACCCAAGGGTATCTCAGAGAGGAAGGCACTACAATCAAGAGAGGCCATTCATTTTTATAGTAATATGAAATGGCAATTGCTTGAATTGTTTTCCCTAGTCCCATCTGGGAAAAGAAAAGAAAAGAACACCATTAGAAACAGAAGTCTCTTCTCAGAAAGCACATTCCACTCAGAATAGCCAAAAAGAACTTGCAAAGACACAACCAGATAAAGGAGACCAAGAGCTTGTTACACAGTCCCTATTTCATTACCAATTTGTTAGCACAGACCATCGTTGACGGAAGGAGATGTTTCCATTTCAGTGGATTGATACATGTGGTATATCTGGTTAGCTCACTAAAGCCAAAAGAAGCATTTCCATTCCTTTCAGAAGATTTTCTGTCCAGGGCCTTCAGTAGGGTAGACTAAAGGGTCAAACTCTGACTTGTTAAACTACCAAAAATCACTTTTAAAAGACTATGCAAAGGAAAGAAAAATATGGGATGCCTTCTTAACACGGAAACAAAGCTTTGCCTGAAGTTGCACAGGTGACTGAAGAACCAAGAAAGATCTGTAGGAACAATTCTGGTTTTGTCTCAGTAGTTAACGAAAAGAAACTACTGCTCTCATTCACCAGAGCTAATGGTTTCCCTTTAGTCTGTAACACAGAACAGGAAGTCCAGAGAGTGGAAAATTCAGATTTACAACAAGGTGAAGGGTAACAATTCAATACATAGATAGATATGTATGTATACATGTGTATATATATTTAAAACTCAAGAAATTGGTCCCTGTTATCAAGGTAGGAACACTCCCATCTACTGAGTTATGAATAAAGATAGCAACAGATGAATATAAGATCCATAATTTAGGGTTTTGTTAAAAAAATACCCCAGGATTTTATCAAAGAATGCAGCCATTTGTTCATGTGGCAAGAGGTAGTTCCAGACTCCTGTTAAACATCAGAGACTGGCCCAAAATACTCTGTGGGTTTTCCACAGACTCCAGTGGATATTTGAGTTGATCTGCTGCTATCTAGCTACTTAGAGATCCAAACCAACAACTTACATCTTCAGTATTGAGTTTGAATGGACTCATGTATAACAAGATTTCCCAGATATAGAAGAAAACATAATGAATATTTCTACTACTACTAGAAAGAAAAATAATCAGAGAGCTACTGTGATATTGAGTTTTCATTCCAAATTGCCAAGATTTCATTAAAATTTTCCTGCAAGCTCTCCTTGTGTCACAGTAGCTCTTAAGCCAGCTGGAAACAAATCCAAGGGGGAAAAAAAACCCAAAACAACAAAATAATATCATTTCTAGTTCATTGCCAAGGTTTTCTCCCTAACTCAGCCTGCCCAGTCCCTGGAGCACTGGGATGATCCAGGCAGCTGAGCTGGGCTGAGCAGGGAGTAAGAGCAGGTCTCCTGGCATTAGCACATCACTGACTGGATCTAGACCCCATGGAGCTGATCACCAGTCTAGAGCATAAAAACATAGAGACAAGACAAACTGCAGAACATACCAAATATTATGGCCTTGGTTTTTGACTTAACTCATCTTTGTCCCTCATGGAAACAGATGACACAGAAAAGCTGAAATTTCAGGGGAAACATGTTGGCTGTCCCACTCCGAGTGGCAGCTTATTTTTAGAACACTATGCAAAAAAATACTCTTATTATGTTACTTTAATCCCTACACAATCCCACAATCCAGGAATTATACGATCTCGAGTTTTCATACATAACTTTGTTTCGTATACAAGTTCACAACACTGATGTTATCTTGTACCAATGTTTCCTTATTTTAGAGCCAGGTCCCAAAGCACAGGATGCACAGCACTGCACTGTACTTCCTCCAGTGCCAGGCCTATTGTCAGTACGAAATATGCATTATTTACTTTGGAATAAATAGATCTTGCAGGACTTCTTATTGCTACCATTGATTATACACAGTTCATTTTCTCATTCAAGGAAGGAAATAAGAAACAGTATTAGTAAACAGATAGATATTGCTGATACTTTGATTTTCCTCAAGTTTCCCTTTTCTCCTCCTCTGTATTCTCCACAGTTTCCAGAAATTTCACATTCTATGCCAGGATAGTGTAATTCCAGCTGTAATGAGATTTTTATGGTATGAGGAGATGATTAAATCCCAGTAATCCATATCTCTCTCTCTTTCTCCTGGTGTGTCAAGGAAACCCAAATTAGAATTGGGAGACTTTATCAACCCTCAAACATTACCTCTTTTTCAGAAAGGTTTTATGCTGACAACACATCAAGAACATCATTACAAAGATGCTTTATCTGTGGGAACAAATGCTGGACTCATCTTCCCCTTCTATGGAATACAATACAAACTTCCAAATGTATGGAAGTAATGAATTTCACTATCACTACATGACCACTGCATTTAAGAAAATCCACCTTTGGAAGCCATATCTGCTAAAAATCTCTTTGGGCCAGGAATATCTGCTGATCCATTAAAAACAGATAGCTATGGAACTACAAAGACCTTAAAAAAATCCACTGAGTTAGTATTTTTAATGATACAGGAGATTGAACCTACCTAAATACAATTAAAAGTAACCTCAATTAAAAGACTTTTTTAAACTTCTGTCAGGTTTCAGTTTTCTCCTCACCTTGACATTTTCAGAGTATCTGCTGACTATCACAGGAATTAGGCTGCTCTCATTCCCAGCCTCTCTGCCCACCTCTCTCAAACAAAACAAGTCACATCTGCACGAAGTACATTCACACAAAAAATGGTGTTAGAGCAACAGGAACATCACTTACCTCATCAGCAATCATACACCTAAATAATCAAAGAGAGAGGGGGGAAAAAAAAGGCAGAAATTAATACTAAATATAACAGACAAACCAACACTTACAAATCATTTACTCTAAGTTATGGATTTACTGGGCCAATGAAAGGAAAAGAGGTGATTTAATTCCTCTAGATATTGACTGCAAAAAAGTGAATTTGGAATAAAGTTGAAAGGAAGTATCCAATTATTCTATAAATGTATATTCAATTTGTTAGCATCACTGGAGAACTTGCAATTGCAAAACTGAGTTGGTGCTTAGGTCCAGAGCTGTATGAATTGTAATCCAAGTCTTGGTGTCTTCAACAAAATTTAACACACCAAGATATAAACGTTCTGTATTTTGATAGAAAAAAATCTTTTAAAGTAATACAGAACTGCTTCTGTTAGTGGTAGGTACTCTGAAGTTAGTGCAGCAACCCAAAACCACAACAGGTCTTTCCTGCACAAACCCAGAGCAGTTTACTGGAATGACTGGTGCTGGCAGCAGCACCATCAGCTAAGAGACATCCTCATGTCCAGTAACATGCATCTTGCCATGGGGCCAGAGTGGACATTTCTGTGGTAAAACCAGATGTTTCAACAGAAAATGTGCACTGGCACTTTTCAGACATGATGTGCCAGACAAAGGTTTGATATTGTGAGAAACATGGGTTTAGCTGCTGTTTGCTCACTCTAGCTGCCACTCTAAGTTTCAGTGTCTGCTCATTTCATCACTTTCAACTAAGGTAAAAAAAGAATTCAAAATTCCTTCTTACATAACTTAATTTTTTACAAGCAACGAACTATCTACTTGCAATAGCTTTGCAACTACACTTCCCCCCTGGGGCTGCTGGGGATGGAGCAATGAAAACAAAGGAAGAAAACATGACAAAACAAAGCCCCCAAGTCTGCACAGATCTACAAAGGGGAAAAAAAAAGGCAGGAAGAGAATTATTTTTAGTGGCAACTCATGATTGTGGGGCCTTAATGCCTGTGATTTGCAGCTGGGCAAAGACATTTATTTGCAGAAAACTAACAGACAACTCTAATTTTAAAATAATGTCAGTTTTTGCTCACTTCAAAGACTGTTTTTTTCTTCATTCAATGCTAATTGTTAATTGCTTGAACGGAAGTTTACAAAACAAGCCTTTCTTTTCACAGATTCTTTGAGGCCAGATGCTTTCAGTACATTAATCATGTTTCTCAAAACCAGTTTGAGGCCTGAAATCAATTGGAATGCACAAAACCCTAGTGCAAAAACCCTATCCTAGGGCTTTCTAAACTTCTCACACTAATGCAGAAAATGAGTAAGACTATAACAATTAGCTACAGAGCAAAGACACCTCAAGAATAAACCAAAGTCCTTCAGCAATACAGTATATTTACTATAAGGACATCACAGCAAAAGTACAAAGGTAGCAACCAGCAAATAGCACCTGGTAGTCAGGAAATGTGGCAAAGGGGACAGGAATACACATGTTCCTTGCCAACCTGTGCTGACAAATACAGTGTTTCTCAGCACATCTACTTAAATCTTGGCAGGATTGATAAATAATGAAATGTTAATCATGCCAGTTCAGACCCACAGAAATCAAAGTGAGAACACACAAGCTCCTATTGCACACGTGAACTCTCTGGACCCTCATTCTTTCTTTCAGGATAAGAAGTTAAAATGAAGAAATTCAGAGTGATTTTCAAATTGCTGTGACAATTAGAAGCTGAAGGGCAAATAAAATAAAAACCTTCAAAATGATGTCAACCACAGAAACATATGTTTTTTTTAATAAAACTAGATTTTGTAGCCACTCCAACTTCGATGACTTGAGTGTCTGCTGACAAATAAGAAGTTGTTTGGTTTTTCTTTTTGCACTCATTTTCAGACTGAGCTCATGAAGTCTTTGGTGCTATAGAGTATCTTCTATTTTCATGTCTGTTAACTAAATATGTCTGAAGTGAAACTTCTCATGTAGCAGCAGCGAAGTTCATGACTTAATACTTAGAGAAACTCATCCTTTTGCTGCTGGTAAATGAAGGGAAGTACAAAGCAGCTGCCATCACTGTATCCATAATCACTCCTGTAGGAGGGGTTAGGTGATCACTCTAGTTTTACTTTCCTCGTTTCTGCAGTACCAATACCAACAGAGACCACAAACACCCATGTGCTTTAAAGCTAAATATCCACAGTGACATTTTGCTGCTAAGTATTCATTCCCTTCTCCTGCCCAAGGATGAAATTGCTTTGTCATAAGCAGTTTAGATTTTCTTCCTGTACTTGCAATCCACACGTTCTTCAGTCAATGAATATTCAGCTAGACACATCACAGATCAATATGAATCAGGTCAACAAACTCGTCCTTAAAGCTCCAGTTAGAGTATCAATGTGCAAAGTCCTCTGCTATGATGCAGTTAGCACCAGGAATCACTGCTTTGACCCACACCGTTCACACTCAGATCCCTGAAGTGCTGCAGTTTCCAAACTGCTAATTTATGCCAATTCATTGACATAATTGACACTCAGCCTTGATAAAATTTTGACATGGCACACAAGACTGAGTTTATGATATAAGTAGAAGCTAAGAAAACTAAGTGGAAATGGAAATTGAGGATATTCCAATTATTTTATGACATAATGCATTCATCTTGTGTAGCTTTCACAGCTTTAAACGCAGAATGTTAAAGATGCCTGCGGAATGATATTACAAAAGATAAGAAGTCCAAGTGTTTTTTGATGAGATTCTAGGGCAGAGAAAAACAGCTTATATTGCTGAGAGGAACATCATCAAGTGTTTCCAGTTTATAATCGCAGCAATTAGATTTGAAGTGTAAAGAACTTCCCATCACTACAGCCCACACCACACAGAACTTAAAAGATACCTAATAGTTGCATTAAGCTGTTAAAAAGCAATACTTTACATAACCTTAAAAATATGCAGCCTCTATTTAAAACAAACTTCAGCATGTTCTATGTTATTGCAGTCAGACAAGCTGCCAACATGGCCATAAAGGTTCCATGCTGTCAAAGCAGAAGAAACAGATCTTCAGCTACACTGAAGGGACAAATATGCATTTCTGTTTCACATATTTTGACTGCAAGAAGACAGACTTCTTGTTCTCTGAAGTTCAATTAGTCATTTCCTCTCAACTGGTAGTTACCCAATCTGAGCTTCATCATTCATGTCCCATCTGTTCATATGACACCTTAATAATAGCTCTATCCAAGAATATAAATCAGAGCTATGATACGCAGATTCATATCCTGTTATAAGCTCAGCCCACATGGTCAAAAGTTTCAGAAAAGCATGGAAAAAAAATCATTTTAGATGTCTCAGTTGCACTTACTCTCAGCAGCAAAGTCCAACTGTGCAAAAAGCACCACAATCACTGGCAAGTTCTTTCAGATTCTTTCCCATTTCATTTTCAAATGTTTCCCTTCTTCACAGCAAATCCTGTGGCTTGTGTTTGAATGTCTGTCCATGCAACAAGGAAATCTGCTACTTTTTCCCAGCAGAAAGCTTTAGAAGCTCATTGGGATGCATTGCACATGCTGCTACAACCTTCCTGCTGTTCATAGCCCTTTGGCAGTTGTAGGGTTAGCAATGGCCTTCAGACAGTAGCACCTTTCACAAACAGGAGGGAACCATAGTTTGGCCTCCTCTAGGATTTAAGAGCCTTTTCATTTTGAGATGTATTAGCTTTAAAATAGAACTACATTTTTTCTTTAAAATGCAAACACAAAAGCAAAACTGGAAGCTTTGTGCAAGAGCAGACCCTGGTGAGTGAATATGCCTGCAGAGAGCAAGGTCTACTCTGCTGGTTCACCTCAAGGTCCAAACCCTTACTGCTGATCCCCACAAAAAAGAGAGCAAATGAAAGCACCTGAGGTTATCACAAAACCCACCACTGTGTGTGGAGCTTTCTTCTCAATGCACAGAATCACATCATTTCAGGGACCACACAGAGCTAGAGCTGGATGAGTCAGAAGCCCAGAACCAAATCTTCATGAGTTAGCACACACAGGCAGAACAGTCTGGTAGAGGTATCAAGCACCAAGCAAAGGTGAACTTACAGAATCTTACCACACCAAACCTTGGAGAGAAACCAGAACCAAGCAAAAAAAACCAAAAACAGGTGAAGGACCTAAGAAACCCAAACCCTAGCCCTCTGAAAGCTCTGATGAGGAATGTTCTGCCTCTGGAAGGACAGAAAGCATTTTTCAAACCTCAAAGAGCACAGAAAGTGTTCCTGGTTGTGTTGATGTCAAGAAGATTGGAATCAACTTTGCCAAGCAGAAGGAGAAGCAGATCTTGAAAATTTTATGCAGATGAGCTCATTGGAGAAGCAGAAGGAAAGTGAGGCTAAGCTCATGTGGCATATGTCATATAGCCCCACAAAAATAGTCTGCATCAGAAAGAGGTTGACACTGAAACAGTTTCATAAAATGAGTTTCAGGGAAGAACAAATGTTTAAATGAAAGTCATTTCTATTTCTGTGTGTCTGGGTTACATTCAGGTCACCCCTTTTGACATGTCAGCACCATTAGCCAAGTGAACAATACAGATAAAGTTTCTTATACCAATGATGGCTACTTCAGCAAGGCATCTTTGTGAAGAGAAAGAATCTCACTTTGAACTTTGCCCCTGAAGGAAAACCAATTAGCAATGCATTGGCACATTTCTAAGGTCTGGAAAGCCAAGGATCCTACTAAGCCATACAGTTGGTGTTAGATGTTTCTTATAACTACTAATATTTTACGATAATATCCTCTCTAAACTAGACAGTTTTGCTTCCTCACAAAGAGGACTAAAAGCTGAAAGGGTACAGCAATCCAATACACCTAGTGCTTGCCTGTGGGGGTAATCTAACTTCTTGATTGATTTTCAACAGCTATTTATCCAGAAAACAAACAGAACCACAGATAACTTTCCCAGAACAAACTCCTTCCCTTTTAAAGGCCTTTTCCAAGGCAAACAGTCCAAGCATTAGCCCTTAATCTTTTAAAACACTGAAA